ACTCAAACAGGGGCTCTGTATCAACCTAGAGGGGTGGGATGGGGAGGGAGATGGGAGGGAGGTTCAAAAGGGAGGGGATATATGTGTACCTATGGCTGACTCATATTGAGGTATGACAGAAAAAAATAAAATTCCATAAAGCAATTTATCCTTCAATAAAAAAAGATAAAAAGAAAATAAAAAGAAAAAAGAATACTGGAGTGTTTTGCTATTTCCTCCTCCTGGGGGATCTTCTCGACCCATGGATTGAGCCCGTGTCTCTTATATCTCTGCATTGGGAGGCAGGTTCTTTACCACTAGCACCACCTGGGAAGCTGTCAATAAGTGCAAACATTTTCTTAAATGTAAATTACACCTCAATAAATTTGATTTAAAAATGATTGACTCTAGTTCATTAGTATCTGAAATAAAGTCCTTATAACTTTGGAGAGTTCACATGGAGATAAGTTATATAATCTTTTAGAATCTGCATTCTAATACATAAATTTGGGAAAGTAATATTGCCTCACAAGTTTGTTGTGAGAATCAAATAATATATATGAAATGTAAAGCAGTGTTTCTAACACACTATTGGAGCTCAATACATTTTATTCCTTCCTCTGGAATGAATGAAAGCTTCCCAGGGGCTGGCGGGCAGGGGTGCTATTTTTTGTTCTGTTTATTTATTTCTGTTTTTCATTGTATTGTTACTAACAAAGTTGTTCTCATATAACTTAAAAATATATTAATTCGTTTTACCATGTTACTGTAGCCATGAAATTACAAGATGTTTGCTACTTGGAAGAAAAGCTATGACAAACCTAGACAGCATATTAAAAAGCAGAGACATCACTTTGCTGGCCAAAGGCCCATAGTCAAAGCTATGATTTTTCCAGTAGTCACGTATGGATGTGAGAGTTGGACCATAAAGAAGGTTGAACGCTGAACAATTGATGCTTTCGAACTGTGGTGCTGGAGAAGACTCTTGACAGTCCCTTGGACAGCAAGATCAAACCAATCAATCCTAAAGGAAATTAACCCTGAATGGAAGGACTGATGCTGAAGCTGAATCTCCAATACTTTAGCCACCTGATGCGAAGAATTGACTCATTGGAAAAGACCCTGATGCTGGGAAAGATTGAAGGCTGGAGGAGAAGGGGGTGGCAGAGGGTGTGATGATTAGATAGCATCACCAACTCAGTGGACATGAATTTGAGCAAGCTCTGGGAGATAGTGGAAGTCAGAGGAACCTGGCATGCTGCAGTCCATAGAGTTGCAACTCAACAACTGAACAACCACAAAAGACTTCAGTCAGGCTGGGACTTAACATTTTTAAAGTTATTTTACATCAACTCATACAACTTCAAATATTTATTCTTGATTTCTATTTTATCTTACATGCATTTCTCTTTCTAAAAGTGAGCTTATCAGATGCAGTCTTGGAAAGGCCCTCTGTTTTCATCTTCATGGGTGTAGTCGTAAATATAGTTGACAATTAGAGTTTCAATTAGAATATATTTTCAGCAATTGTTGAAAAATATTTTTCACAATTTAATGATCTAGTACAAAGATATTTGCTTATCAGCATTGTTTTACACTCTGATTATTTTGCAGACTATGGCAGGGAATGGAGAATAAGAAGAAAAGAGAATATCTAACTGCTAAGCATAATAGTAGATTTCTAAAAAGTTTGTCTTTTAAAAATCTCAAGCATATAATTTAGCCTTTAATTCCAAAGATTTAGTGGAGGTTCAGATAATTTCACTAAACTATTTCTTCAGCTCCTAAATATTATGGTGCAAGGGATGAAACACCACATCAGATAAGGGTTTTAAATCAACTTAAACAGTGTAATTCTGTGCACAATAAATTAGCTGAAACCCCAAATCAGAAGTTGGTATATTTGTAAAAATTATAGATGTGTTTCTTTGCTTAGTTCACCATGTTCTTCAAAAAACAAGTTTATACTTCTTCTAAGAACATTGTAGAAATGCTAAAGTCAAGACTTCAAATTACAACAGTGAAATAGAAAAACATAAAAGATATAATTTATCAACATATTTAGGAGAGAAAAAAATTTTTGACTACTTTATTCCACTTGAAATGCATAAATGTTTTGTATTAGATGAAGATATTAAAGTAATAGTTAACATGTGGCCTGGTAAACTTTGAAAGCTAAAATAAAGATGTTAATACTACTGTCCAAGCATTATCTCTGTTTTAAGTCCACATTTAGAATATTTTATCAATAAGCTATTTTAATTAGCTTTAATATTTTATCTGCTGCTCAGCTAACATGCACAATGTCTACTTACATCATCAAGAATTAAATTTGGGATTGTTGGAATATTCATTCAATAATACTGACTGTTTATAGAGGATATATACTGTTTCTGGAGTAGAGAGACAGGTTAAGTGTATCACCATTTTCAAGATTATCCTAAAATTTAAAGAACTAAATGTAAGGCAAAATTTTAAAATTAATATGGTTAAATTAAAAAGGCCTATTAGAGAATATTATTTTATTCTTACCAAGACAGTTGCAGAAAAATTCCTGGATTTCACATTTAGTTAAGTGCTGAAGGATCAGTACTGTATTATGATAGATGCATAGTTTCCCCAAGCTAAATAACAAGTATTATTATAAAAATACTAGTGATAAAAACTAATGTATTGTTAACATGTTAGTCAAATAACATATTGACCACATATTGTTTAATGTTCTTTTAAGTAGGTTATACATGATATCTCAATTAATTCTTAGAACAATCCCAATGAGGTATTATTTGTCCCATTTCTCAAGTGAGGTAATTGAAGCATGAAAGTGAAGTGAAAGTCAGTCATGTGTGATTCTTTGCGACCCCATGGACTATACAGTCCACGGAATTCTCTAGGCAAGAATACTGGAGTGGGTAGCCTATCCCTTCTCCAGCAGATCTTTCCCGACCCAGGAATTGAACCAGGATCTCCTGCATTGCAGGTGGATTCTTTACCAACTGAGCTATCAGGGAAGCTGATATTGAAGCATAAAAAGGGGTATAACTTACTCCAGGCCACACTCTGAAGAAGAGCACAGATAGGGAGCAAGACTTGAAGGGGATTAAATGCTTTTATAGATGATTTGGTTTTCTTAAATAATGGAGTCTATGGAAGAGAAATTACAGTAAAAAATTAATGATGTACTGAAAAAGAATGGAGAGGAACCAAATGAAAAGGGTCCTTGTGGAAACACTGCAGTGGTACAGAAAACTGATGATGAGTAGCTAAACCAGAGTCAAATACAACAACTGACAGAATTGATGGAGTGTCCCTGCTTGGGGGAAGAAGTGAGGAACAGAAGCTGAATCTGACTAAAGTTTACATTTTAATCACAGTATTTAAGAACTCTTTCAGATAAAAGATGATCTTACAAAATTTGCTTTAAAATTCTTAATAAATGGATACTTTTTGATTACCTATATTTTGAACCAATTCGCAGCCAATATTTGATAACTGATCATGATGTTAGTTTCTTCAGCATTCGCTCTTCAGCAGCTATTTATATGAGCCCTTCTTTTCTTTCCATTTTTGGTATTATCCAGCTATCTTGCTTTCTCTGATCCCTGCATGTAATTTATCTCTCTTCTGTTACTAAAAGCCTACTCATTTCCTTTCTAAAAATATTTGAAGTACTTGTTGTCAATTTTTTGTAAATACTTTGTATCTTTCAGATTCTTTCCTTCTGACTTATAACCCTTTTTTTCCCAAAATTTTCCTGTGATATAATGCTTCTAAATATATGAAATATGATCATCTGTCTTCTCTTTCACAAATACCTAAATAATCACAGTGACTTTGACGACAGCTGGTATGAGGGGTGTTGTTTAGATTAATGTTAATAACCCAAATTTAAAAGACTCACATAATTTTGCTAACTGAAAATAATTTCTAAATCAAAATAAGGATACAAAACGGACTAAAGAAAATACTTTGAGACATGATTAATTTTAATATGTTTACAGGGAAAGAGTAAATTCACCAGCAGAAAAACAATTACCAAAATTAACATTTTACAGTTTTTTAGTCTTAAAGCACAATACATTTTCCATACAAACAAATATATCACCATTACAGATATAATAATATGGCAACATTTATACACAAGGCCATTTGCCAGTAAGAAAATCAGTGGCAATGGTGATACAATACATTAGTTCATCTTTGTTAAATTTTTTGCTATTATACTTCCTGGCCTGCAGGAGTATTTGCCAGGATAACACTATAAGTGTGTGACCTCAGTTTGAACAATACATAGAAGGCTCTGGTTGCCCATGCTTAATCCTAATCTATTATAGGATCACTAGAAATGATTTCGTACCACTACTCTGACATAATTCCATTTATTATTACGGTCATTCCCAAGGAATCAAACATTTTAACAGATTCACTTGGATATTAAGAAATTATTTTATACAAAATAAGTGCAATATCAGGATTTAATATTCTATATACCTAAACTTAATAGAAGAGAAAAACTATACAGGTATTTCATTGAAAATTATTTGATATTATATGAAGTAGGTAATCATAGCACTGAACATGGGAAAATAAAATCTTTTTCATCCTTAGAATTACTATTTTTATTATTGTTTTTAAATGCACCAGGTGATCTTCTGAGGACCATTCACATTCAGTGTTTAGTTTCATCTTACTAGTGGCATATACAAAGCACCATATAACATAATATATGAAATGTAGAATAATTATGACTATGTAATACTGTAGAAATAACTGCTAAGAAAATATAGCAATATTTAACACAGGATTTCTAAAACCATTACATATTCATTATTTTTCCCCAAGCTAATAATGTCCCATGTTTTATTTTACAGATGTAATCTATCAAGATTTATATGCATGTGGCCCTTTTGGGGGACTGAAAATAGTTGATATCTTCTGTACAGTAATGTTACAGTTTTATACAAACTTCAGAAATGTGGTATTTGGAATAGTCTTTACAATCCTCTTCCAACTGTTCCATTTCACACAACAGCAAATACTCTGAATGCCTTTCCTCCTGGAGGATTCTGTAAGCTGCAAAAAAAAAATACACAAGTACACTGATGTCATCTCCATGCATAATCCTTCAAACAAATCATGCTTTCTTATGACAGTCAATAAAACAGCTCTGTGAATCCAGATGGTCATCTCTCTCAAGACTACTATAATTTATAGTTCTTGGAAAGCTTGAGTGGGGATGACATAATTCTTTAAATTATACGCTGGCTACAAGTTTACTAAAGAAATTTAAGGTTCACAGAAGTAATATTGGTACTTTATATTAAACTTCAAAGATTCCAGGTCACATTTTCATACATTACCACCTTTAGTTCCAATAAAGTAAGAGTTAAACAGTTCTTATGCCATTCTACTAGGGAAATACTAAGATCCAGGTTTACAACTGACTGGCATGGTTAAAAGCTTGTGGTGTTGGTGTTCAGCCACTCAGTTGTGTTTGACTCTTTGGTCAAACCCCATGGACTACAGCCCGCCAGGCTCCTCTGTCATGGGATTTCCCAGGCAAGAATACTGGAGTGGATTACCATTCCTGTCTCCAGGGATTCTTCCTGACCCAGGGATTGAACACACATTCCCTGTCTCTCTTGTATTGGGTAGGCAGATTCTTTACCACCGAGCCACCTGGGAAGGACTATATAGCTGGCATACTTATTAATATTTTTAACATATGTGGTTTAAAAAAAATCTTAGGGAATTTAGTGGTCAAGTCTGGAAGGTTCTAAGTATTTCTTCACCGAAATGAAAACACAAATACAAATACAAATCACTCAATCTCTTTTCAGAAATATTTTAAAACAGAACTTCAAAGCAATGCAGAATCATTCCTTTTACTCTTTAATAAATTATTTATATGCTCTTTCACAATATTAATCAGGGTATGCTTTGCTTAAATGCCTCAAGTTAAAACCAGTTAATAATGCCACTAATCATCATTTATTCTAATCAAATGTAAACTTTTACAAAAAAGCTTTTAGAGATAAATACAATAAATGCTATGGGGATACAAAGTGCAATTTCTTTTATATATTTATTCATGTACTACAAAAGGGGAGAATTTTAAAATGAAGAAAAGATTGTTAGAAGTGTGCATACACCACATTACACAATAACACACACACACAACAGGTTTTGCATACAAGCAGATGGCTAACTGAAAGGTATTTTTATTTGTAGGAAACGAATTGACAAAATGCCCAAAAAGTGTCTGTACACACTGATACACTGGAAAAATGTGTTATTTCTGAACTTACAGAACTAGTGCTGAATCTGATCTCTGAGACTGACAGGTTATATGACCTCAGGCATATCATTTAACCTCTCTGAGCCTCAATTAACATATCTGTAAATCAGAATTTATAAAACCAACTTTATAAGGGTACTGATGGAGCCAAGTTGACATACTTAAAGGGCCAACAGCATTTGGAAAATTCATGATAGGTGTACAAAAACACACAGTCTTAGTTTTCTTAGGATATCATCTACCTTATTCTTTTTAAATGAATTTTTAAAATATGATAGGTAAATGAGACCACATTACTCAATTTAATATATAAAACTGCATTATCATTCTCTTTGACTCAATCTCCTTTCAAGTGAAGTGAAAGTCACTCAGTCATGTCCAACTCTTTGTGACCTCAAGGACTATATAGCTCACTAGGCTCCTCTGTCCATGAGATTCTCCAGGCAAGAATACTGGAGTGGGTAGCCATTCTCTTCTCCAGGGGATCTTCCCAACCCAGGGATCGAACCCGGGTCACCCTCATTGCAGGCATATGCTTTACCATCTGAGCCACCAGGGAAGCTCTGATGTACTTTACATAACATATACATATGTTACATCTGTTATATGTTATATATATGATGTGATATATAAAGTAGAGAGAGAGGGTGACAAATGGGGGAAGGGTATAGGGAATGAGCCTGTTTACATTTCATTGAATAAATTCTTAGGATCTTCCATGTTTGACCATTAAATTTTCTCACCAAATTTTTTCTTAAAACCATTAATGTTAAAAATATTAGTTAAGTATCATGGCAATACAATTTCAATTTTGTCAGATTTAAGAAATGGTAAGTTAGTACTCTAGGGCGAGCCAGATAAGTCAAGTTATTGAGAAGTCAACTTCTTAACAATAGCCTCTTGATGATACAGTCTCATTGGAAACTAGATGCTAAATATAAAGCTGTCATTTGATAAAGAATGGCACTCAGGTGCTTATGTGAAGGCAATCCAGATAGCCTGCATGGCACATCCTTTGGTGTTCTTTAGAAAAACTTTACCATATGTGCAAACAAACCCTTAAAGAACTCAGTAAATGTTTAAAAGTTAGGAATTTTCCTGTATCTATACAAAATGCACAGACTTAATTCTACTTCCACAAGTACCAATGATTTGAAAAATCACTACAGGGATTTTGTGTTTTTCTCTTAACTTTTATTATTACTTGATAAAGTAAGTTACATGCATTTTTCTCAAACCACTGAAATATGTAATACTAATAAGCCAAACATAAGATAACCTGAAAGGGTTTATTTATAGCATACTAGGCATCCAACTTCCAATCAAACAGAGAATTTGGTTCCAGGGAAAATTGGACTCATTGTTTTTGTCAAATACTTTGTCAGATAACTGGATTAGAGAAATATTCAGTGCCTTGCTTACCTAGAAAGAATTACATGTAAAAACTAATCTAGAAAATCCGAAAGAGGATGAAAGAAATTTCCTTATTATAAGATCAGTTAACAAAAGAATGGTTCTGACTCGTAATCCGATTTTCAAGTTGATTTTTATAAGCCTGCAGGAGACAGGCACCTCTGGTACTACGGCTCCTCCCATCCCTGGAAGACCAACTATTCTACAGCCTGCAAAGGAAGCACACTGGCTTAGTTACAAAACCTCAAAGCCATGCAGGTTGGCTGTAAAGCCAGCATAAAGGGAGAGATGATATATAAATATATATACATGTTTACAAATATATATGTACACATATGTTAACTTACCTTTCTGAGAAGATTCCATTCTGAAAAGAAGCAGTGTAAGTCTTTCTTTTGTCCACAGGCATCACATCAACATAACCCCCATGGTTCTGAACCACGCCAGCATGTATGGCGGCTCTGCAGATACTGGAGAGCTGAGGAAGCGAGGAAAAACCCATCATTAGGAAACACCTGCTGAATTTGTCCAGTCTTCTCTTCGATTGGACACAAGGTCACTGACATCCATCTCTACGGATTCCCAGTGAGGAACTACAGGATGTTTCATGCATAAAGGAATCTTTCAAAAGTCACAAAGTATTAGTCGATGAGCTGTGTCTGACTGTTTGTGACCCCATGAACTGTACCCCACCAGGCTCCTCTGTACTATCCATGGGGTGGGTAGCCATTCCCTTCTCCAGGGGATCTTCCTGACCCAGGAATTGAACCCAAATCTTCCCGCACAGCAGGCAGATCTGAGCCACCAGGGAAGCTCATTCAAATTCACAAAGTTAAAACCAATTTTGACCTAAGACTTGGTTTGTGTATTTTTGTAAATAGTGTGATTTATTTCTTGACCCATACATAAATATTTAGAGTCTCATTTCTTTAAAACTTATTTGAAGCTAAATTGTGGGTTTGGGGTTTTGTTTGTTTGTTTTGGTTGGGGGTGGGGGGAGGGAAGGTATTCTGTACTCTGATAATCCACGTAGATTTGTAAATCAACCCTGATGATTCATTGGAAGGACTGATGCTGAAGCTGAAGCTCCAACACTTCACCCACCTGAATTTGAAGAGCCGATTCACTGGAAAAGACCCTGATGCTGGGAAAGAATGAAGGCAAGAGAAGGGGGTGACAGAGGATGAGCTTGTTGGATGGCATCACCAATTCAATGGACATGAATCTAAGCAAACTCCAGGAGGTAAGGAAGGACAGGGGAGCCTGGCATGCTGCAGTCCACGGGGTCGCAAAGAGTCAGACACAACTTAGTGACTGAACAACAACAAATCCAGTTGGCGATATCTTGTGGTTTAAAGCAAATGTCCTATTGAAAGCAATTCAAATATCAACAAAATTATTTCAGGTTAAAACAGAAAATAAATAAAAGCCAATGTTGAGCAACTGGAGACCTGAAGGCCAATCTTTAGGGTGGCTGCATGGATAAGATCCCTTCATCAGCTAACCGTCCAAACAGCAAACTTTTACTATTGTCCAAGCAATAAAATGCAAATTAGCTCCTTTTATCTCTTCAAGGGCCTATTTATAATTCTTAAATTTCAGCCTCTGGGACTTCTCTGGTGGTCTGGTGGTTAAGAATCCACCTGGCAGGGTTGGGGGACACATATTCTATCCCTAGTCTGGGAGCTAAGATCCTACATGTCACAGGGCAACTAAACCTATGCTCCACAACTACTGAGCCCTCATCACAACTAGAGAATCTGTGTACTGCAGAGAGGGGTCCCACGGGCCACAACTAGGAACCGACGCAGCCAAATAAATAAATAAATATTTTTTTAAAAATTGAGCCTTTGCTAGTCCCCACTCCAGTAACTGACCAAATGTTCCCAGGCTGGATTATCTGCACCCCATTTATATTCAGTTTTGACTAAACAACTCACACATAGTTATGGATATCTCTATAGTTCCTTTTCCAACATATAAGCATGTATGAAAAATGGGGTGGCTTTTCCTATTAGATAATAAAATCTATGCAGAGAAAACCTGCCCAAAAGAATAATCCCAAGAAGAAAAACATGAAGTAACATCATAGCTTCTACCTAGATGTGGAAGGTCTATCACTCTGTTTTGAACATTCTGACAAGAAGTACCAGGAAAGTTCTATGTTTGCATTCTACCAGTTATATAATCAGAATTGAATGAAATTTCTATAAAGGAGAGAATTGTTTCAGGCCCAACAAACACTGCCATTTTTTTACACAACTTAATTCTAGAAGTCAACGCTTTTCTTTTGACCAATTAAAGTCTTCTGTAGATTTTAATATCTGCTTTCATCCAAATGTTCTACCAAAATTTGTCAATAGCTGAGAAGAGTCTGAGGAAATCCCACAAAAATGAAACACTTAAACTGTTTCAGTATAAAGCAATCTATGCCATAGCCCCAAGGGTCTTTTCTGAACCCACTAATTTGCTCTTTTCTTATCTCTGTGCACATATGAGTGACTTAATGTGCTTTTTTAAGTTCACATAGGCATGTGCATCTTACATGACCTTGCTTTATTACTGTGCTCTGAACTCTGCGGCATCAGTCAGTATTTATTAGATCAGAGAGACCGAACGCCAAGCTGTTTAATCCTTTTCGTGTTTTTGCTATATCACAAAATACCATACATCTAAAACCTTGAATCCTTACTCTGAGGAATCATTTTATTCACCATTTAAAGTCCCTCACTGAATTAATATTTATGTCCAATAGGGTTCATAACAGATGGAATTAAAATTAACTCTGTACACATTTCAGTACTTATCCTGTTCTGTTAAAAGGGTATTATCAGCATTTTTCCCAAGGCAATAAAAGTGCTTAGATATAACATTCACTAAATCCAAGCACTTAATATGGTTTGAAACTATTGTTTTGCCCATAACTCTGCAGTCAGCAGGCATTCCAATTTGAGTTCAAAGGTCAGAGGAGATTTTCTTTTCCTGGCCACACTTTATAAGAACTAATATATCACAAAAAGAAAAAGAAAATGTCTCTGTGAAATCAGTGGAACATTTTTAATGAATGCAGAAATTCACTTTATCTCTAACAAATGAGAAATAAAAGCTCAAAGAAAGAGGGTGTACAAGTTGTAACTCTATTAAATGGAAAGAGAGAGACAGAAAGATGGGGAAGGGAGAAAGGTTGGGAGATCCTCTCTCATTTGTCCATATCTTGTATATTTAAAGAGATAATGTATTTTGCAGGGGGAGTGTGAAGATTATTTCATTAATGGTTGATTCTGTACTTAGCACATAAAAATATTTATATTTCTAACTTACTCTGCATAGTAATACATAACATTTTATCCCATTTCACTGAAATAAGGTAAAAATAATCTCAAGTTAATAAACCCTTAACTCTATCAAAGAGATGGCTTATAGGTATAAAACTTTATAGGGTATTTTGAAAGATTTTCACTAGACATGAATAAAACTAAGGGGACAATTCAGGAATAATGATTTCTTTAGAAATGTCTGATGATTTCATATTTGCCCATTCATATATATCTATTAACTTATTTTTTTAACAAACTTTTCTGTGCAAGGTGTTTGCTGAATCACTGAATGTTCTAAGTTCTGTTAAAGCAAGAAGTAGGAGCCACAGATTCGACCACTGGGTTGGGAAGATCCCTGGAGAAGGAAATGACAACCCACTTTATAATACCTATGAGAACCTGTTAATTGCTAAATAAAAGGAAAAAAAAAAAAACTAACAGAGTTAAAGAAAAGCAACATCATACTTAGCTTCTTTACAGAGAAAGTGGCAGTAATTTAGGATGTAAAGAATGCCCATGACCATGATTTGAAAGGATGTTTACAAACAGAAACAAGAAGCTAAGCACAATCAGTGAGGACCACCAAATTAAGACACCAGCAGGATTTAAGTTGCAGATAAGAAGACTGCAATTCTTCCCTGCTGGCTCAGACGGTAAAGAATCTGCCCACAATGCAGGAGACCAAAATTCGATCCCTGGGTCAGGAAGATCCCCTGGAGAAGGGAATGGCAACCCACTCCAGTATTCTTGCCTGGAGAACCCCATGGACAGAGTTGCCTAGTGGGCTACTCCATGGGATTGCAAAGAGTGGGAAATGACTGAGTGACTTTCACTGCTAAGATGACTGCAAACTTGGAGCTGGAGACTTAAATGTGGAGAATAATTTCAGGGATAAAGGTGAACTAGGAAAAAACAAACAAACAAACCTGAACATAAATAAATTCACCAAGAGAAGTACAGGGATAATACATACATTTCAGGCCTCTTTTTCCCGATCATATTCCCATAATATTCTATTGAATAAGTGTATCAAGAATATACTTCTTTTTTTTTTTTTCTTTTTAACTTATTTATTTATTTATTTTTTATCACTTCTTAAATTTGTTTTTGTAACTCTGAATGAGATATTGGTGAAAGTGAAAGTCACTCAGTCGTGTCCAACTCGTTGCGACCCTATGGACTGTCATCCATGGAATTCTCCAGGCCAGAATACTGAAGTGGGTAGCCTTTCCCTTCTCCAGGGGATCTTCCCAACCCATCTGCCACTTAAAATCTAAACTTATTAGCCTGGATTGATATTTAGATTCTCCAATTACATGTTTCAAAAGCTGGATCTCTCCCTTTATCCCTCACACTAAACTGGCTGCAGCCACTTTTAGCTCTAATTCTCACCAGCTCAAATATAAGCAAACCTGCTCTGACCATTTGAGTTTTGCCATGCCCACACAATTTGATGTGTGCCAAGCTGTAAGTAAGACAGGCTTTGTTGCTGTTGTTCAGTTGCTAATCTGTGTCCAACTCTTTTGTGACCCCATGGACTGCAGCCCACCAGGTTCTTCTGTCCATGGGGTTTCCCCGGCAAACGTGCCATGCCCACTTTCAGCTCACTTGCTCTCACCTCCACGTCTCTGGAGAAGCCTTTCGCCCCACCTAGAATGTGCACTACTCCTCTTTACCAACTCACTTGAAACCTGGATTGGAAAGCACCATTTATCCACACTGAAGCCATGACAGCTACACTTGCTGGTCCACCCCAGTGCTGGCATCCATTACAATACACCATCAACTGGTTTGCTTTTGTGTGTCTTTTAACGATTACCTGTTTTTGATACTATGCTACTTTTTAAATACTCATTTGGCAGTGGAGAAACTGTTTATAAATTTGACAAATTCTTAACTATCCAGTTTATACTTCAAAAGTCGAAGAGCCAAAAGGAAGATGAAAGAAAAGCAAAATGCTTTATCCTTCTCAAGGATGCATCCAAGCTATTTTAGTGTCTGATATTGAATACAGTATGCAAAAAATTTTAGTCAACATAAATTATGCATGCATATTTGCATATGGTATTTATTTTCACTGCTATTCATGACTGACTCTTAAGAATATGTATATCAACACAAGAGTCTGTCCCTTTTTTGTATACAAATTATATACATTTGAAAATATGTACATTTAAATATATATGTGAGTATATTTGGATGGACAGATAAATAAGTGCTTGCAGGCTTAGTCCTGTCTGACTCTTTGCAATACCCTGGACTGTAGCTCGCCAGGCTCCTCTGTCCATGAAACTTTCCAGGCAAGAATAGTATTCTTGCCATTTCCTACTCTAGGGGATCTTCCCGACCCAGGGATCAAACCTGTGTCTCCTGCATTGACAGGTGGATTCTTTACCACTGTGCCACCTGGGAAGCCCAGATATACAAATACCAAGACGGATATGGTTTAGGATACTTACATCAGAATAAATTCGAGTTCCAATTACACGAGCATAATGTGGATTTGCCTGCATACAGTTACGAGGACAGTATACTCTGAAAAATAAATACATATTTACAAATACTAAGCAGCTGGTTATTTTAGTCTTTCTTATTAGTAAAACCATAGACATGTATACACAAAAGTAAACTCAGAATTCTAAACCCTACTCATTTTTTTATTGAAGTATCGATGGTGTATAAAATATGTCATAGGTATAGAATAGGGTGATACACAATTCTTATAGGTTATATCCATTTATAGTTATTATAAAATATTGGTTATATTGACTGTGTTATACAATACACCCTTGTAGCTTATTTCATACATAATCGTTTGTGCCTTTTAATGCCCTACCTCTGTATTACTCACCCACTTCCCTCTCCCCACTGGTAGCCACTAGTTTCTTCTCTGTATCTATGAGTCTTTTTCTTTTTTTGGCTATATTCACTAGTTCACTGCATTTTTTAGATTTCATTTCTCTGTATGACTTATTAAACTTAGCATAATGCCCTCAGGGTCCATCCATGTAGTTGCAAATGAAAAATTTTTATTCTTTTTTATAGCTGAATAGTTTCTTTCCTTCCAAAATAGGTCAATTGTAGAAGCCAGGCAACAGATACAACTGCTTCTATTTATTTATCCACTTCCAGCTTTTGGCACAAATGTGTTTCTTTTGTCTCGCTCTCTTTTTTTGTTGTTGTTCTTCTCTTTCTTTCAAAAGAAATTTAGCCAGAAAGCTTTCTAATTTGTGAATTCAAAGCAGAAAGATATATCAGGAAGTACTGTTCTCTCAGTATCTAGGAATTTAGTAACTCATGTGGGTGCAGAAATTAACAAATATATAACTTGGAAAAACTGAACCACTGTCTGCCACATATATCTCATAGTTTCTTTTCTCTATGATCATATCTTTGGTATCTCATCCAATTTCATGGTTTTAACTCTCATCTATAAACTGCTGATTTCCAAATTTACATCTCTAAATCTTGGGATGTAGAGATTTAGAGTTGGGATCTTGTCTCTTAATTCTCAATCGGTATTAATATATCCTGTTGTTTATTCAGTATCTCCACTTGTTTTTGTTGTTGTTCAGTCGCTAAGTCATGTCCGACTCTTTGCGACCCCATGAACTGCAACATGCCAGGCTTCTCTGTCCATCACTATCTCTCTGAGTTTCCTCAAACTCATGTCCATTGACTCAGTGATGCCATCCAACCACCTCATTCTTTGTTGCCCCCTTTTCCTCCTGCCTTCAATTTTTCCCAGCACCAGGGTCTTTTCCAATGAGTCAGCTCTTCACATCAGGTGACCAAAATATGGGGCTTCAGCTTCAGCATCAGTCCTTCCAAAGAATATTCAGGGTTGATTTCCTTTAGGATTGACTGGTTTAACCTCCTTGCTGTCCAAGGGACTCTCAAGAGTCTTCTGCAGCACCACAGTTTGAAAGCATCAATTCTTTAGTGCTCACCCTTCCTTATGGTCCAACTCTCACATCCATATATGACTACTGGAAAAATCATAGCTTTGACAATATGGGCCTTTGCTGGCAAAGTGATGCCTCTGCTTTTTAAAACACTGTCTAGGCTTAATACAGCTATTCTTCCAAGGAGCAAGCATCTTTTAATTTAGTGGCTACAGTCACCATTCGTGTTGATTTTATCTCCACTTAGGCCTAATAAACATCTCAAATTCAGCATGTTTGAAACCAAATTCCTAATCTCCTCCTCTAGTCCCCAAAATCTTCCTTCTTAAATGTCAATTCCATTATTTGGTAGCACAAGCCAAAACCTTTATTCTAGCCTTAATCTCCCTCCTTACCTCAACCTTATATTCAACCCACCAGCAATTTCTATTGGGTGTACATTGAAATAAACTCAGAGCATCCTGAAGTACCATGATCACTGTGACTCTGGACTCTATCATCTGACTCACTGCAATAAGCTCTCCTATGCTCTCTCTGCTTTCAATCTTGGCCCCTCCAATCTACTTTCCCCACACTCTTATACTGAAGAATATAAGTCCAATCATATCATTTCTCTGCTCCAAATATTCTAGTGGCTTTCCATCTGATTCAGAATAAATGAAAAGATCCTTACAATGACCAATAAGCCTTGAATATTGTCTTCCCATTTCCTCTCTGACATTATATCCTACCCCTCTTCCACTTTCTCAGCCAGCTCCAGTCACAATGGTCTAATGGTTATTCTTCAAACATATGGAATAATCTTATCTTCTGGGTCATTGTGCTTATCTTTCCCTCTGTATGGAATGTCCTTTCTCCAGATATCCTACTCACTTACTGATACCTTAGGTCATTCTTTCAAAGTTTCCAAAAGGTTTTTGATTTAAACATAGAGTTCAATCATCAGTGTTCAGTCAGTCACATGACATTAAAAAAAATCCACTTCCAAAATTAAGAAACTGTTAAGTGGCACTTTTTAAAATTGATTGGCTCTTCAAAATCCATTCACACACACACACACACACACACACACTCACTAACTAAAAGAAAATCAGAGCTAAGACTGGAAAAAAAACATAATTCATTCTACATAGTAAATCAGACTCTCAACAAAATGCATGCATGCATGCTCAGTCATGTCTCTTTGCGACCCCATGGACTGAGGCCTGTTAGGCTCCTCTGTCCATGGGATTCTCCAGGCAAGAACACTATAGTGGATTGCCATGCACTCCTCCAGGGCTCAGCAAAATAACCCTATGAAAATCATTATTTGATGAAAGTATCAATTATTTTCCTAAAAGCATTATAAAAAATATTTCAATTGCAACTATCTTTACCAATTGAAGCAGGTCTTCTACAAGGCAGTTTTTAAGAAATGGCTACAATTCTTATTTCAATTTCATGTTCCTAAAGTCTGTATGACTCCAGAGTGCATAAACTTCCTGGAGCATCTAAACCAGAGCCATTTAAATATAAGTAATATGTGAATCTGAGTTTTTATAACTTTGAATTAAAGGGTTGATTTTAATAAAAGATGCCTTCTGTTGGAGGAAGGGCATCCCACTGACAACAAAACTGTTTTTGTATCTGAGAACTGTTGGGCATTCCATGCCCACCCTACAGTGGCAAAACCACCTGCTCTCCCTTAGGACCAGGCTGTGCAGGCTCCGCCTTGACCATACTTAGCACTTGGTTTGTGGAAGACCAAGTCAAACACAGTTCAAACTGAGTTAGTTTCTACTTAGGTAAGTTCAGTTCAAAGGAAGAATGTAGGAGCTTTTTGCTTGTTTGTGTTTCAATCTCTGGTTTTAACACTTTGTTATTATATACACTTGCGAGAATGTAGACAGTGATCTAGTATTTCTTTCCTTTGACTACAACTTGCATTAAGCTTGAATAAAAATGCTGACACATTTCAACAGGACCTCTTTTTACATCTAATCTTAAGGAAAGATGTTTGGCCCTGATGTGATCTGGATCTGTGAAAGAGTCATGCAATGACCTGACAAGTGACTGATGTGTGTAACATGTCACTCACTGGGTGGCCAAGCCTCCGTAAAGCTGTCGGAATGAATATACGGGTCTTTTTTTTTCCAAAGTGAAAATAAATATTTTTCATAGAGACAAAAACAAAAAATTTTAAAAACCTACATTTTTTGGAGAAAGGACACTAAGAATGCCTAGAGTGCATGCCGTGTGTGGTGTCCATTGCTCCTACTGCTGGCAGTTCAAGACCAAACTCCATTGAGTCCTAGAGACACGAGGATCTCAGGCAAAAGCAGTTATCTCAGGTAAAACTCCCCCATTCACTGGTTAAAAATGAAGAAAATTTAAAACACAGTACCTCGGGCAATGCGAAGCAGGCTTATGGAAAGGACAGAGCTGTTCCACAGTTGTTTCACAAGTGACAGCCTGAACTGAAGTATTCAAACACAAAAGAAGTGAATCCTTTAGAAATGATAACATGCAACAGAGTGATAAGAAAATAAGATGAAAAAACAGTGCTAACCTGTTACTTTAGAGACTGTGAAGGAATTGGCAGACTGATATTTGCTGAAGATAAAAATATAAAAATTTCAATCAACATCTTACATGCATTGACATCAACATAAGTTCTTACATTTTTAAGTCTGTAGAATTTGATTTCATCTTAAACATTTTTATTTAAATATCTAGACATGGAGTAGTATAAGAATTAATCATCTATTTTATGCCAAACCCATATGACCTTCAAGTGTGAACCAAGTTGATACGATTCTTGATATCAGAGAATGACCTCTTTTCATTATCAATCTCAAAAACTTATAGGTAACAGCATGAAATAATACATATTTGTATCTATGTATTTGTTTCTTATTAAAATTAAAATTCTCAATATACTCATGCTTTGTCATCACAGAACCAATTTATTCTTTCCAGTCAGTACAAGGCACTGTAAAAAGACTGCTAAAAATAAGTACCTTAAAGGAATGTGCATTATTCATTTTTTGTTCCCTCTAGTACTCCTTATATGCATTATAAAAGCAGGAATAAAAAAAAGGCATACCACTATATATGAAATTTTTAATTGGTTTATCTATACCAGATTTTCAGAAAAACATCTATTGCAAAAGGTAAGGCTTATTTATGATAGTACTTTAATTTGACACAAGTTTCAAGAGTTTCTAAAATAAATAATAAAAACTAACTTAAGAGAAAAAAGTAAATAATAGGATAAATGTTCTCTTTTTTGTTATTTTTTTGTATCTTTTAGTAATAGGATAAATGTTCTTTAATGCAACACCCAGTGTTTGCCTTCCTAAAGTGAATACTTAACATTGATTACTTATTGAAAGTAATTAATAAATATCTGCTGGGTGAATAAGTTAATAAATGTTTCTATAAAACTTTTACTTGAGCATAATTGCTAATGCCTGAAAAACACACATCAAGCCTTTGAACAAAACTGTATATATATATACCACATCATTCCACCAGTGTTTAAGGATCTTTAATATAAAAAAAATTCTTTCTAATCATTGTGAATTCCCTACTGTGGAGTTTTTTACAATTGTATAGTTACAAAGGAAGGGCAACTATGTCATATTTCCTAAGAAAGGCATCCCAATATGAGATTCAGTAATGTTTATTATTTTACACAGGAGAAAGAGCAACTACAAAGCCTACATTTCAAAAGCCTACATTTTTCCATTTTCTACAGAGACTATATGAAAATATTTTGTTTTAGAATAATATATTTACTATGTTTAATGTGACAAACATTTCAAAAGTTAATCAATAAAAAAAAAAGTTAATCAATGCTTTTGTTGTTGTTTAGTCATTCAATCGTGTCCAACTCTCTGTGACCCCATGGCCTAGAGTGCCCGCCAGGTTCCTCTGTCCCTGGGATTTCCTAGGCAAGAATACTGGAGTGGGTTGTCTCCAGGGGACCTTCCCGACCCAAGGATTGAACCCATGTCTCTACTGGGAGGCAGATTCTTTATCACTGAGCCACCAGGGAAGTCACCAGGGAATTAACTCTTTTATGTTGGGTCAAATTACATTTTAAGGAGGAGAAGAAAGGTGACATGATACATTACATATTTAGAGACTTTTCAAAATGCTCTTTTATCTAGTACTTAGTTTATCTTATTGACAAAGTTAGTGTTGCATAAAATAAATAATTGTCTTTAAACAAGAAAGGAAGAATATGCAAATCAATTAGCCTTCTTGGGCATTTTCTATCACAGGTGAAAAATGTACTATTTCACAATGGGAAAAACTATAAATCTACATTCTTAATGACACGAAATTTAAAATTTAGAGTTTTAGCATTATCTGTAAGGTGGCTCAATGGTAAAGAATCCACTTGCAATGCAGGAGACACAGGTTCAATCCCTGGGTCAGGAAGAGCCCCTCAAAAAGGCAAGGGCAACCCACTCCAGTACTGCCTGAAGAATTCCATGGACAGAGGAGTCTGGTGGGTTACAGTCCATAGAGTCTGCAAAGAGTCAGACACGGCTGAAGCAACTTACTTGGCATGTATAAGCAAAAGGGTTCAACTGAATTTAGAGACTTTTCCTTCTTGTTGCCCATGGATATTATGTAGCTGAAATAAGCCTTTCTATCTTCTCTCTTTATAAATTAAATTCTTCTGTGCTTTGTTCTAAAAGAATGCAACTCATTGTTGCAACTTAAAATCTCTGGTTCAAAAAGATTATTCAGGTACTTACCCAATTGTTTGAACACCATTTCTATTGGATTTGATAAAATAATGTTTCCTTCCTTGTCTAGTGATATCCACCCAACCACCATCATTGTCTATTATCCCATAATGAATTGCAGCCCTACAGATACTGGATTGCTGGGAGAAAAGAGAGAAAAGAATGTGAAAATAAGAATTCTGCATGGGATACCACTCATTACTATTTATGGCTTTAAACATTGCTGAGCAAAATATCTATAAATATATAAACTTTTTTCCATTAAAAACCAAATATTATTTGAAAGGAGTCTATCCTCAAATTTATAATACTTACCATTTCATAATGCACACTGCCAATAACTTTAGCTTTACTATCCAAACAGCCAGCAGGGCATTCATATCTAAATGAAAGAAATGGGAAACAAAATTTAGCCTCTCTGAATGTCTGTATAAAATGAAAGTAGTTTTGTATCTTGTCAATTAATTTTGAGTGCAATCATAAATATTACCTATTGCAGGTTGTTCCTTTGCACTGATCTCTTAATCTTACTTCACACGAAACAATTTGAGCTAAAATTTAAAAGATAATAATAATTTAGTTCATGTACAGCTGCTCTAATTCATCCATATAGTCTAATGCCAAGTTTTTGCCACTCTAAAAATGTTCAAGATTAATAAAATACAGTTGAATAAGTCAGCAATGCAAACTTTAAAATTTCTGTAAATAATGCAGAGGTCTTACACATTTGCTGTGTGCTTATGACTTCATTTCTGTTACTATCATCTGCTACTGTCCGGATGTGGGTGTCATGGACTTGTGACTGCTGCTGCCGTTCAATTTCATTTGTTTCTTCTTCTCGAGGAGGATAATAACTATCTGATCCTTCTGTTAGAGAAAATGGATTTAAGAAATATGAGTTCATCTTAAGTGTGCACAAATTATCAATAACAATACACCTTTATATGCTTGTTTAACACTTAATACTACTAGAAAATCCATACTATATATTGGCACAAGTTTTGGCTTACAGTAGTGACCTTACATACTGCATTGGTGTAAATAAAGCAGGTGCATAAACTTTTGAGCCCTTGATTCATTTATGCTACCATTTGGCTAATATCAAATGGAATCATTTCTAAGCTTTCCTTATATTTTAAAGTGAAATCAGTTATTTGCTTTCATAATGACACCATGAAATCTATACAGTGATCTAAATGAAGTTGAGGCTTAGTGACTTTTCATTTCTTTTCTCAAATGAAACCATATTTTCAGGAGGATAACACTTAAAATTTTCAAAAGAATCATATTTAAAATTCTCCTGAAAGGAAATTCAGCCTAAGAAGAATCGACATTCGCTTGTCATTTACCACAATATCAGTTTCCATGGAAAGGTTTCTATTGTAGAAGGAAATTCAATGTGCAGAAATTTAAATGTAACAATGGAAAATATGCAAACATTGAATTTAATATGTTTTTCCAGGCTGGCTTATATCAAGGGCTTGACGGGCACATTTTGAAAATGTGGTTATTTTCATGTATGTCCAAGAATTCAGAACCTAAAAAAAGGAAGCATGAATTCAGAGGAAAGTCAGCTTTAAAAACTCTGTGGTCACTGACAATAGAGCAAGCAGGTTGGAGGTTTGGGGACAGAACGGATGGAAAACAGACTTGTGCACAAAGAAAAATGTTTTCAGGAATTAAAAATGGCTCACGTAACAGAGCGAAATATATGGTTACTTCTTGTCTAGTCATTATACCTAATGAGCTCTCAATCATTAAGGGAAAAAGCTCTCTCTCTGAGTACTGAAAAGTGGCTTCACTTACACATATTTTCTAATATTCTTGGTCTGCATTAAATCTTCATTTAGTCATCATTAAGAATAAAGTAGTATAAGAGAGTAAAAATGTTCACTTGGATGCCCAATAAGAGGATGACCTTCACAAAGCTTTGTCAGCTAAGTTTTATCTTCATGTGCTACAAATAAGACACTGGGCATTTACTTTATATTTACTTCTGAGGATATCCAATGTATGCGAGACAGCACTTTTTGCAACAGTTTTATAATACTATTTTATGTGTGTGTGTGTATATATATATATGCGCATATATTGTTATTTTGGCATGAGAAATTATATACTCTGCAATAACAAGCAGAGAATTAGTATAATTCATTGGGTATGGTTCAATTTGAGTCATGGATAGGTATTTAGGCAAAAATTTTTAAAGCACTTAAAATAAATTGTGTTAAATCGCTAAATTCTTCAAAAAAAATGACATTCATGGAAATAATTCTAGCCAACACTATATCAAGATGGTTTCTAAGACTATAAATATACTCATCACTCTGGGATAATTTCAAAGTAGAAGTGGTTATCTGAAGCAATCATGCAACTTTCCTTTAAATACAAATTAGTGTAAAAGACTTATTAATGTTATAAATATTCTTAAAATATTTTAAATGATTTCTTCAGAATACTTGAAATAGAGCTCTGAAAACTTTTCATGTGATAATCAAATGTGCTTTTTGGCTTTTTAAACACAAATTACTGTGGAAGTTGGATTAAAATAGAAATCAAATTGAATGTTACAACAGCACATACCTTTGTAGCACAGATTTTCTCTGCAGCCTCCTCCAAAACTCGGTGGGCAAGCAGAACAGGGCCGGCCATGTTTGTAGGGGGCGTGGCCCCACCAGTTTCCCCTTAAAAAGATAATTCACTCCATTAAGTGGTAGTTTATATTTCCTATTTTTGAGATATCTTTATACTGTTTTCCACAGTGGCTGCACTAATTTACATTCCCAGCACCAGTGTACAAGGGTCCTCTTTTCTCTACATCCTCACCAACATTTGTTATTTGTATTCTTTTTAATAATAGTATTTCTGACAAATGTGAAGTGACATCTCATTGTTACTAACTTTAAACATACATTGCTATCCCATTCTTTTGAAAATATTCTAAATAATGTGCTATATATATTGTGAAGAATTACAAAACCAAACTTCTGCAAAACACTAACCTCCGCTATGGGATATTCATCTATATTCCATTTGTCCTAATAAAAAGAGATTTTTGACTTACATTTGACTGAAGTTTAGTTGTGTAATAGTTTCAATGTAATTATCTGAAGGGTCTTTACATAGGTTACATTTCTTAGTCTATGGTTTCCCATCTCTAAAAAACCCAAATTATTAAATTTTTAAACAATATAATAGTGCAATAAATAAAACTGAAGACCCAAAAATATGATTCTTATCTTTACAAAGATCATATGTTCAATTTTCACATTCCTTTTAAGCACCAATTTTATGCATCAGGCAACCATAATTGTTGCCATATTAAGTAAAGTGAGTTAAAACAGTGCACTTCATAACACACATTAAAAATGGTAAAAAAAAGCCAAAAACATAAAGTCATATCTACATTGTTAAGAAATATTTACATATAAGACCAGTGTTTCGTCTACTCACTTTGGGGAATAATTGCACACCAGATAAACAGCTTTGGGCCATATTTGCCCCCAGATGTTCATGTTATGGCACAAATTAATGGCACAGCCTATTCTGCTGCTTGTGGCCCACACCACCTACATTAGAAGGGAAAAAAAGGCTCTGAGAAAGCAGGTTGAGATGAAATAAGACAACGACATATCTGAGAAAAAATGTACAGAAGTGAACTCGAGAACCAGCTGTTACCATTCAAAATGAAACGAGGCAATGTCCAAAGGATATTTTTCTAGAGATTTTGGGAAGTCCTTAATTTAACTTAAAAAGAGAGAGAGATACATAATAACTCGGAAAGGGAGTGTTAGGTGCTCAGTCATGTCTGACTCTTTGCGACCCCATGGACTGTAGCCCACTAGGCTCCTCTGTCCATGGGGATTCTCCTCAAGAATATTGGAGTGGGTAGCCATTCCCTTCTCCAATTTTCATATATAAAACATAAAAATCTTATTTATTACTAAATAATTCAAATGTTACACACCTTCACAAGCCTAAATGGCATATTAATTTTTTTTATGAAGAAACCTATCTAACAAAGGAATAGAGATTCTCATCTTAAAACAGAAAGTACTGGAGCAAAAGTTTAGGTGTTCAAATTTCTCACATTTTAATGTGTCACTGCCTATTAGGGAACCTCCTGCTGATCTTAATCTTGGACATGCTAAGGTATACAGAAGCATTTGTCTGCTTTATATTCAGTAATAATCGTTCACTGAAAGTCTAGAAACTCAGATCTGTGGTGAGTTTTATCTAGTCAAATCTGCCATTAATTGGTTGATTTAGTAGTTTAGGACATATCCAATGGGAACACTGAGAAGTTTTGTAAAAGATAAATGCTGCATGCATCAAATATACTGAATGTCATGGTAAATAAAACCACATTTTTATTTTTGAAAAATAAAAAATAATGACATCTGAATATAAAGATGGTAAATTTCCTCCCATCTGCATTTATTGGGGCCATATTAAAATATTTTAAATGTAAAATCACTGAAATAATATTTTTAAGGAAATGTCTATACATTTCTCTGATTACTACTGCTTATAAAAATTTATAAGCCTATTCTACATGCATCTATATATTTGTAACAGCCATACAAAATGATATAAGGAAGACAAATGTTCAGTACTCTGTAAGTTCTCCTACAAAAAACAAACAAACAAAACTTTGTTAGTTTACACAAATTCAGAGGAATAAAGTATAATATACCCCATACATACCTGTGTATAATGAGTACATACAGGACCAGAACATCTGAATGGACAATACGGGTTACATTCATGTTCATATGGGTAACTAAAGTCTTTTACTTCATCATACCATGCTTGCACATGAAATGTTGGGGGCCTGTATCTTTTTCAAAGAAAATAACCACAAAGATCAATTAAGATTGGAGAAAATATAAAACTAAATATTGCTAAAAGCACTGATAAAATTTGGTAGAGAGGCAGTTCTGTGGAATTTATTAATATTAAACACTTTTGCACATTACGTCACTAATATATCAATTACTTGAAACAAAAACATGTCTAGGATACTGCTGATCATTCTGCTATAATATTTATTTTTTCTTATTTGTCTTGGTGTGACTGCTTGTTTTCCTTTTAGGCACTAAGCCTTTGAAAACTTACAATGATGAATTAGTAAGTATTTCATTTCAAACTCTTTTGTTTTCAGAAACAAAAAGTTATATTTTAAGCTACCTTCCCCAATGGGCTCCCAAATTCTGTCCAATTGACGGAAGCAAGCTTGCAGGTCCATGTTCCCACAAACAAGTCTCAGCCCAGGATTCTGCAGACCTTTCCAGTTCTACATCCCATGTCTACGATTCAAAACAAAAACAAAATACAGACATGAAAAGATAATGTATATATAGAGTTCGGACATTTCTTTAGAATATACAGTTAGTTACATTTTCTTCTTTCTGACTTCTTTGCAAAGTCAGCATCTTAATCTGGGTTCTCTCCATCTCTCACATAGTTTTTGCACTAGCCTCCTAATGAATCTCCTTTCATCCATCCCACATCTTTCCAATCTGCTCTGTAAGTGTTAAGAATTGCCTAAGTGGACACAAATACACTTAAGTGATTCCTCTGTCTAATCACATTGAACAAATCCCTGTATACATAAAGTCCAAATCCTCGCTCGCAATATTCCCTGTCATAAAACCTGTTATTCCTTGCTTTTGCTAGCACTGTTTCCTCTGCAGAACACATCCTTGTCCCAATTATTTGTCAGACAGATCCTTACTCTTATCACGATCCAACTTTATATAATACATTCTTGACACATTTTCATTCCTCTTAAATGTAAGCCATTTCCTCCTTTGGACTCTAAAGCTTTGTTACGCTCTTCGCCATATGGCACTAGTGGTAAACAACCCGCCCGCCAACATAGGAGACTTAAGAGACATGGGTTCAATCCCAGGGTCGGGAAGATTCCCCTGGAGAAGGGAATGGCAACCTACTCCAGTATTCCTGCCTAGAGAATCCCATGGACAGTAGAACCTGTGGGCCACAGTCCATGGGATCACAGAGTCGGACACAACCGAAGAGACTTAGCACCACACTGAGATGCTAGCATCCATCTGTATGTCTCTGTCCCAGGACTGTGAGTTGCTTGAGGACAGTTATTTAACTCATGTTTGTAACTTCAGCTTATTATCTATGTCCGTCATATGGACAAAGCGGTCAGTAACTGTTTGCTGAATAAATGAATGGTTAATGAATCTGAAGTCCATAAAATAGAAATGTATTTGCACGCAAAAGATTCAACAAGTAACTAATTCACACTTTAAAAACATTTGATAAAGAAACATTTACAATTACAAAATCATTACCAAAATAATTTCATATGTCCTGAGTTTAATATTCTGTTTGTTAATTTGAAAATCAGGCAGTTTAGTGAATGGGGTGGTAAAAACAAAGAATTTTCCAATACTGGGTTCAATACTGGCACAATTACAGGATTCTGGGCATGTTAGGAGGATAGAAAAATAGGCCTGGAACTAGAAAATGAGGACACAACCTAAGGTGAAAGCAGTGAAACTGGAGAAAAGCAGACAGACTGAAATAATGTTTAGGAATTTAAATTCCTAGAAGTTGATGGATGACTAAAGGCAGGCAGTGAGGGAAAGGAAAAAAAAAAAAAAGGTGAAGACTGATGAGATTACCAAACTGTGAGAAAGAAAAACAGAAAGAGAAATAGATTGTTGTAACAGAAGTGTATGTCTCTGCACTTCAATGCATATTTCAAGGCTGATGGGTGAGGTGTCTGTGATACACACAGTATATACATGTCAAGTGGAGAGTGGAGATAGATGACTGGGATTCTGGGGAAAGAAATATACTCCAAAGACATGAATCTTCAAGTTATTCACTCAGAGATGAATTACTTCAGGAAGATGAGACAGAATGAGAAAAAAATGTAATGAAAACTCGGGTTATCAAAATTGAAGAGGAGGAAAAAAATGTTTAAGCAAAATGAACAAGGAAAAGTGGAATCAGAAAGGCTAAGGAAAACTGAAAAAGGATTAAATTATGAAAGGCACAAGACAAGGGATTCCAGGAGTAGAGAGTAGGCAATTAAGCTTAAATGTTACAGAAAAGTCAAAGAAGATGAGGTCCGCTCGGTACTAATTCACTATTAAGAGAAATCCGAGGGACTTTCCTGCTGGTTCGGTGTTTAAGAATCCACCTTGCAATGCAGAGGAGATGGGTCTGATCCTTGGCCAGGGAGCTGAGAACTCACATGAAAGTGTTAGTCGTTCAGTCGTGTCCCACTCCTTGCAACTCCATGGACTGTAGCCTGCCAGGCTCCTCCGTCCTTGGAATTCTCCTGGCAAGAATACTGGAGTGGATTGCTATTCCTTTTTCCAGGTCTTCCCCACCCAGTGATTGAACTCGAGTCTCCTGCATTGCAGGGAGATTCTTTACATTCTGAGCCACCAGGGAAGTCCTTTTAAAGGATGGAAAAAACCTAACCATGATTATAGGTCAAAAGGACAAGATACTAGAAAACAGAACAAAAGAAAAAAAAGTATGTGTGAAGAAGGGAAGTTTCTTCATTCTATGTGTAGTCTCCATATAATCTTACAACAAACATTCTTGTTAATTCAACTGTGGATCTGAAATACATAAAATCATGCTTTCGAAGCCAGAAAAAAAAGTATACAAAATTAGGATAATACTACATCTTTATTATCTACCAAAAACACACAAAAAAAGTATATTTACATGCCACTAAAAAATTAACAGCACAAAAATATCTGGCTTTCATAAAAACTTGAACTTCACTTTGAATTAATATCTAATGTTCAAGACGACTGGTTTTGTGGTATAGACATCAGAAACGTATGCTATCAATAAGTAGCAGGTAAACACTTTGCCAAATGTGAACATACTATTAATGAAATTCATTACTTAAATTAGACCTAATTTTATAATTACATATTATGTAAGATGCAAAGGCATAATTCAAATTTCTGTCATTATTTACCCAAACAAATTAGGTAAGAAACAAAGAATTTGGCTGAAGTCCCCAAAAATGAGCAAGGTGCTGATTTCCTTTTGTATCCAGATGGTCAGAGAGACAGTCATCTCTCAAAAGCAAGCTTACTTCTAGGTAGAATTCCCTGGTAAGTAGGTTGTCCTTAAGAGACAAACAAATTTTTGCCTTCAATCTTGAAAATCAGGTTCTTGCATAATATTTTAGTCATACTCATGGCTCAGCGGTAAAGAATCCAGCTGCCAATGCAGAGACTCCAGGTCTCTGGGTCAGGAAGACCCCCCTGGAGGAGGAAATGGCAACCCACTCAGGTATTCTTGCCTGGAAAATCCCTTGGACAGAGAAGCCTGGTGGACTACAGTCCCCATGGGTGCAAAAGAAGCCAACACGACTTAGCACCTAAACACCACCACAGTGAAAATATATTTACCCATAGGTTTCTAATCTAGCAAAAAAGCAACCTCACAAAGAGCAGCCAGGCACCAGAAGGAAAACACAAACATTCCTAGATGGGGAAGAGAAAAAAAAAAGGGCTTGAAACCATTGGAATGGTTTTAAAACACTCTTCCAATGAAGGGTGGAGTTGAATTCCCTCCCCTTTCCTTCAAGTTGAGTTAGATGGTGGCTCCCTTCTAACAAACAGAATAGCACTGTGAGATTTCCCCAGCTAGGTTAGGAAATAAAGCCTCTATCTGATTCTTTCTCTTTTAAGACACACATCTTAAAAGACCTGAGTCAACAAATTAGGATTTCAGCTACCCAGAAGAGGTAACTAAAAAAATAAGATGGAGAGACCACACAGAAACAGAGAGATGCAAGAGGAGTCCCTAGTGTTTGTGTTTTCCTAGCCCAGACATGAGACTTGTAAGTTTGCCTGTCCAGGTCACTACAAACAAGTAAGAGACCCAGAAGAACCACCCAGCTAAGGGAGTTCTTAAGGCTCTTATTCAAGGTCAATTTACTCTTGTGTTACACACAATTCTACAAACTTAGACGTCAGTTTTTCCTACAAAATTGATGGATTCTTTCCAGAGAAGATACACAACTATTTCCAAGTTCACAAATATGTTGTATATCCAAACGTTGTTTATGTATCTGTTGTGTAGAAACTGGAATAAAATCTACAATATATCATTCAAATGCTTCAGGCTATGTTTTCTTATCTGTAAAATATGTCAGTTGAGATAGAAGATAATTTAGGTTCCTTTAAGGACTAAAATTCAGTAGTTGATTATATATTATGGACAAGTTGTTTTTACACCATGATTTTTCTTCTATTTAATCCATTAAAAATGGGGGTGGGGGACATCCTTGGTGGTCCAGTAGTAAGATACCACCTTCCAATGCAGGGGGTGTGGGTTTGATCCCTGGTTGGGAAACTAAGACCCCACATGATGCAGGGTGTGGCCAACATTAAAAATGAATAAAACTATTTAAAAAATAATAAAACGGGGAGTGGAGCATATCAAATTAACTATGATAAAGCTAAAACAGGGACTTACATTATTTTAATGCAGGAACTGAGGCAAAGAACATGCAGCTAAAATTTACTATCAATATTTAATAAATATTAGTGACAATTTTGAAAGTAATCAATTGAAGAATCTAATCAAGCACTGCTATTTAGGATAAGTTCAATAATATGAATCAAGAACATTCTTTAAAAAAAAAATCACTGAAAATATAGCTGTCCTGGAAGAAATACTATCATATAACACGACAACGCACGGAATATATATTTTTATGCTACAACATAATATTTCAGGTTTGAAGACAGGCAATAATTCATACCCATCCCATTTAAATGCAGGTTACTCTCTATACATTTCTATTTAAATTCAGGATTGTAAATTAAATCAAGATGGCCTAACCAGCTTCATTTTTTCTCTCTGAACTATTCACCCAGGACTAATTTAAAGCCAAGCCACACTTAAAATTACCATTTCTTTATAAAACGGGTACTTGAGGTGTGCAGAAATAAAAACCACTCTATTTTCCAACTACATGAATAAGCTGTTCCTTCTGAGAACATAGTAAAGTCTTCAATTTAAGTTTTATTACTAAAAGAAACATTTAGAATATTACTAACATACTTTGTCTCCGGGGTCATTTTTCAACCAGTTGAACATAGTGGCTCTATCATTTCCCGGGTGTATGTATACGAGAAACCTTAAACCTTGACAAAGGACTTTTAAAAGTAAACCTTGAAATTTATAGTAGTTTTAGCACTAAAAGGGCTTCCTTGGTGGCTCAGATGGTAAAGAATTCGCCGGCAATGTGGGAGACCTGAGTTCAATCCCTGGGTTGGGAAGATCC